TTTTCGAGTTCTCCCAAACTTTCAGGAGTGTTTTTATAGCTCGATAGAAACACGGAGAACATGTTTTCTATTTCTTTTCGAAAACACCACGACGAAGTGGTGGACGAAGTGTAAATTCTCTTTGCTCGCGCCATCATTACGTCAACAGCTCGTGCTAGTTCTGTGTTTCTATCAAGTTATAGAAACATGATTTTCAACCAATCAGCGCGCATATTTTCTTAGGACCGTTTTCTAAAGTAAGATGCAAAGTGGAAACCACCTACCTTAACATTGCTAGGATCATATGTCAGTGCATTTCCAAGATGCTCAAAAGCCTTTGAGGTCTGACCCAGCTGCAACAGAAGAAGCTATTAGAGTTGAACATTTGACACAGTCTAGAGGGAGGAGGGAGAGAAGGTGAAAAGACTTTTCTGTACAGGGTGAAATAAGCAAAATAACAACAAGCACTAACCTGCAGGTAAAGAAGTCCAAGAGTTGTCATCAGGTCTGGATTTTCAGGTGAGAACCTGGATATTTATAGAATACAGAGGTGAATATTTAAAACAAAAACACTGCGAAGCTGAAATTATACATAATTGCATTCTGAGAAACTAATTATGTAGAAGAGGTGTGTCAGCTTTACATTTTTGAAAATTGCTTGTTAGTCCACCTCATCTACATTATTTCTTCACTCAGTTTTACAGATATTCACACATTGTCTGACAGAAATGGGCCGCCATCTTGTTTTGCAAGTTGCAAACTTGCATGACAACCAAGGAACTGTGAAAGTATATAATGAAACTGAAATGCAGCTGTACAGTTTAGTATTTCCAATACAAATATCAGTCACCTAAACCAATCAGATTGCAGATTTTGCCTGTATAATATTGTTGAACACTTTTGGTCGGAATGCCTTTTGCAGCATATTAATAAACTTAACAGAATGCACACCACTCACTCTATTGCTTTCTTGAAAATGTCAATGGCAGATTCTGTATCACCCTCCAAGAGTAAGACTTTACCCAGCTGAGTAAAGGAGGCATCATGACGGTGGTATTGTAAAGCGTGCTTGAAACAGTCTTTAGCCTAACAAAGACAAACATGTATACAGTTGGAGTTAAACATCTCCAGCTTAAAATCACAAAGTTAATGCATATAAATGTACTGTGTATGATAGTAACAAAAAAATTAAAGCTTTCAATTAACTTTAATTTAAAGCTTTCAGCTCATGTATACAATATATACTAATTTGCCACAATAAACATGTTGTATACATGACTGAGTTGAGGTAAGGATATTCTCAATATATCAGCATGCCCACAGACATGTATTTTGAGGAATGGACAAAAAAAGAGAAAACAGGAGATCAAAAAAGTAATTAGTAATTATTAATAGGGAAAGCAAACAAGCAGTTCTCCCAGTCTACTCTTTCTCTGTTTTCTTCTCCTTGCTGTGGTCATTTATGCATCACAATTCAGTACGGGTTTTGTCTTGCCAGGAGAGGGAGGGGGATCATGGAGGTCACTTTCTAAGCAACCCATCACCCAAAGGGAAGTCCACAGGTCTTTTTATTGGTCAGTCTCCAAATTATTTTTTAGAGTCATGCTCTGGCAAACAACTTTAAAATTTTCAGTCTTTGTTACTTGGATGTGTAATCCATGTAATTACTGTAGTTCACGTGTTTGAGCGGAGACCTTTATGAGATAATTTAGTATGACTTTAATAGTATGAGATTAGTATGAGATTAGTAGACCTTTATCAGATTATAAACTAATGTTTATAAATCACGAAGTTCTACCCTTAAAACATCATTTATAATTGAACTTTTTACCTTTTCAAAGTCTTTCATATACACGTAGCAAACACCTGAAAGATGTCAAGAAAGGGATATCATAAATTAAAAAGACCTGAATTTTGCATGCAAAAATTCTCGTCAGGGTTAAAATTTGATAAAAACACTTACCTTGATTGTGATAAATTTCCTGCATCGAAAAAACAACACAGAAATTCTACAGGTAAATATTAAATTTAATTGTCTTGCTTTATTTTAATACTAAACCACACAATAAACAGTCAAACCTCTGCACACTGACAGCCGACTCCCTATACATGTAGCACCTGCATATTTTTTAATTTGTACAGTGTATGATGTTATAAAGACTGTGATATCTGTCCAGTGATGAGATATTAAAAGTAAGAAACATACTGGCTAGATCAGCACATTGGTCATTAAATTCATACATATAAATATTGGTTAACATACCCAATCTTTGGTGCTGAGCTTTGCAGCTTCATTGTATACTTCAAGAGCTGCTTTGTGACGAGCAAGAAGAAATCTAGAAAGATTATAAAGTATGTCTATAACTCTCTTGAAACTGAAACAGATCTTTTAGTGCGACTACTTGAACTAGGCCACTTAGAAGAAAACTAACCAACCAAAACATAAACTGAGAACAATGGACTAGTATCTTTTTTCGTAAAGGCAAGTAAGGGTCTGTTTGACATGAATATGTGATATATTTGTCAACTCCTCTGTGTTATACACCCTCTACAGATTCATTTCTTGATGGCAAGTTAACTTATATTAAAATTAACTCAAAAAATGTAGCTTGAAAACTTGTTTTGCAATGATTTAACTGAAACTGTTGAAATGCATACAAAATTTAGGGTCAAAACTAACCAATCAACAAATAGTAAAAGTTTCCTGAGAGGTCTACAACACTTCACACTTTTTTGGGTTTCCACTTTTGTTCGAGAACAATTGTTTGAAATCTTCAATATTAATCAATCTTCAACGGTAATGTTCTGGTTGGCTAAATCTTTTCCATGTGACCTGATTCAAGTAGTCACACTGTAAAGAAATTGCAATATTGTAATATCTTGATTAAACATCTCAAATAAATGTCAGGTTCAAATAAATGTCCTTGTATTTATCAAAGGCCCTGGCAATTGACATAATTTGTAAGCACCAGTACTATTGCGCTACTGGCTCCCCTGATACCTAGGACTACCGGAAACATATTTATCAATACTTCACTACAAACAATTCATGAGTGGGGGGTATTGGAACACTCAGCATGACATCAAATTGTACACTTACAGCGATCTTGCCACTTGTTTTAAGTTATCAGCGCTTTGTGGATTAATCTGCACAGTCCTCTGGAAAAGATCCAGAGACTCTTGGATTTGCCCCTCTTGACGAAGAATTAATGCTACAAAAGAGGTCATCAAACAGTAAGCGACCGGTAAGCTCAGCACAAAGATCCTAGGCTATTGCTCCACTTTCTACTGCTGAGAGTAATGATTTTCAAAATGTCAGTACAGGCAAAAGTAAACATGTACAATGTTGAAGTCAAAAAGTGACCTGTAGCTGAAAAACCCACTTAGGGAGCTTCAATAAAGTTTGTATGTATGTATGTACATGTAGGTAAGTATTGAATAAATGTGTAATTTTTTTATTGCATTTTTTAAACAGATGACTTTTCATTGGTCAAAATATTTCTGGGCAAAATATGAGGACTTTTACAGTTTGATGATTATCACAGGCTGGTATCCCTGCATGAATGAATTCAAATTTCTGGCTACTATTAAAATTACTTAACGATGGGTAGCAGACTAATCCAACTCCAAAAATGAGGAAGACAGTGGTTTGCAAATTCATGCTCTTTAGACTGACCTAAATTGTCCAGTTCCAGAAACTATGTATTACCTGCCTTATGGAACATCACCAGAAATATTTCCAGGGGGCAGGAGGTCACAAAGTAAGGGGAATTTCTGGAGAGGTAGTTGGTGGTCAAAAAACTCAGAAAACCTTCCACCAAGGGCAGGAGTTGGACATTTCCTGGAACAACAGTTACACATACTCAGGGCTACGATATATAAAATGTGTTACCTTTGCAATACAATGCATATTCACACATTCCTTGTGTTTCACCAAGTTGTTCCTTTATAAGGGACTTTAAAGATAGAAAAGAAATATTGTTACAATTGATATTCAAACAAGTATACACTGTAAGAGATCACATGATGTTGTTAAATTTGTAAACTTTCCTCACCTTGCATTGATCATATTCTTTTCTGATGAAGTGCAAATGAATAAGCCAGTTTCTTCTTTCATACACCGGCAGCTCAGGAGCTAAGAAAAAGATAGTTTGCAGCTATCACAGAAACACTGCACTTCACACATAATGGGAATCAACTACATATAACAGTAATTTTTTATTGTAAACTTACTGAAAAATACAGTATTTATATAGCACTTCTGCAAACAAAAATGTACAAGATTTTCAGAAATATTAATCAATCATCAACTAGAGATAACATGGAGAAGACATTAATAAGAACCAGCCAGGAAGGAAGGTGTGGAGAGTAGAGGAGAGGGCAAGGAAGAGGAGGGGTCCTACCTCACTTGTCAGAGTTGTAAAATGTGTCTCTACTTTTTCGGTTTCGTTTCATGAATCTTGAGAAAGTGTCGCAATTTTATACTTAATTTATTTCAGTTGTTTACCCTGATTACCCACGATTCTCACTATCAAATTCGACAGACAGTAGTGATCTAACCTTACACCTGTGACACATGTAGTTTGTTTATGCTTAACATGAATTAAAAGAAATTCAATTACAGGGAAGTATTACACTAAGATGTCAGACAAAATGATCTACAGACTACCCCTGACATAAGACTTTACATGTATTTCATTACAAGGTCATGCTTTCACAAACCACATGATGTATTTGAAGTTCATATCCTATATTTTAAAAATAACAAAACATCGTGTGGTTTGCGAAAGCATTATCATAAATTGTACTGGTAAGAAGCCTTGGTAATATTTCAAGATCAAAGTTTACCTTTTCCACGACGTTTTGACGGTTGAGCTTTTGGCTGTGGTGCTGGTGTTGTAGCAGGAACGCTTTCTGGAGACATAGACACACTTGGAGTTTTAGCAACAGAACTTTCAGGGCTTCCTGTCCCGGGTTCTGAAGCAGTCTCCGACATGGACAGCTGGCTTCCAGTTTGAGGAGTTTCCGCCATATTTGGTTCAAATATTCCTGGTAGGATTCCGTTTTAACCAAAATATACAACTTCTTGTTGCGAAATTTCAACTAAAAACTGTTCTTACACAACTTAAGGTTTTAAGCAAAGATGATAATTTGATCGCAGTGCGAGAGAAAATCGAAAAAACTCAAGCGATGTTTAGGAAATTTGCCCGCCATGACAACGCAGCTGCTTGACGGACACTTAGTGACTATTACACATAATATCATTTCAAATTGGGAATGCCGCTGGTTAGTGGTGATCATGGGCGGCGAAAAAAGAGATAAGGAAAAATGGCAGCACGGCGAGCACTTGGCGTGTAACAGCCGTAGAGATTTGCAAGAAGTTGTTCAAAGTTTGAATTCTAAAGTAAACAATCATCCAACGAAACCGCCCATTTTTTCTCTAGTTGCTGAAGAAGTAGGCTCGATTACCAGCCGTTGTTCGAGAAAGGAGGCACCGGACTCGAGTGCGCGGCGGAAACCTGGAGCTTGTTTTTCAAATCGAAATTTCGGGCAAATATACTTTGCAGTTTTTCTTTTTTTGATCTTAGTCTTGCCTTCGTTTCTTCCAGCCCTGCTGTAAGGATCAGTTTTCATTTTATTTATTGATTGGACTCAGGTGCATAGCCAGGATTTTTCAAAGGGGGGGGGGGG